CATGTGCCCGCCGCCCAGAGATGCAGTGTTCATGTGTCCACCGCCCAGAGATGCAGTGTTCATGTGCCCACCGCCCAGAGATGCAGTGTTCATGTGCCCGCCGCCCAGAGATGCAGTGTTCATGTGCCCGCCGCCCAGAGATGCAGTGTTCATGTGCCCACCGCCCAGAGATGCGGTGTTCATGTGCCCACCGCCCAGAGATGCGGTGTTCATGTGCCCGCCGCCCAGAGATGCAGTGTTCATGTGCCCGCCGCCCAGAGATGCAGTGTTCATGTGCCCACCGCCCAGAGATGCGGTGTTCATGTGCCCACCGCCCAGAGATGCAGTGTTCATGTGCCCACCACCCAGAGATGCAGTGTCCATGTGCCTTCCACCCAGAGATGCAGTGTTCATGTGCCCACCGCCCAGAGATGCAGTGTCCATGTGCCTTCCCCACCACCCAGAGATGCAGTGTTCATGTGCCTTCCACCCAGAGATGCAGTGTTCATGTGCCTTCCACCCAGAGATGCAGTGTTCATGTGCCTTCCACCCAGAGATGCAGTGTTCATGTGCCTTCCTCGCCGCACAGAGACTCAGTGTCCATGTGCCTTCCCTGCCCCCAGAGATGCAGTGTTCATGTGCCTTCCCTGCCCCCAGAGATGCAGTGTTCATGTGCCTTCCACCCAGAGATGCAGTGTTCATGTGCCTTCCACCCAGAGATGCAGTGTTCATGTGCCTTCCTCGCCGCACAGAGACTCAGTGTCCATGTGCCTTCCCTGCCCCCAGAGATGCAGTGTTCATGTGCCTTCCCTGCCCCCAGAGATGCAGTGTTCATGTGCCTTCCACCCAGAGATGCAGTGTTCATGTGCCTTCCACCCAGAGATGCAGTGTTCATGTGCCTTCCCCACCACCGAGAGATGCAGTGTTCATGTGCCCACCGCCCAGAGATGCAGTGTTCATGTGCCTTCCTCGCCGCACAGAGACTCAGTGTCCATGTGCCTTCCCTGCCCCCAGAGATGCAGTGTTCATGTGCCTTCCCTGCCCCCAGAGATGCAGTGTTCATGTGCCCTCCACCCAGAGATGCAGTGTTCATGTGCCTTCCCCGCCTCTAATGATAACACCTTTGGTCAGGTTGATAATAAAGTCACCACACAAATGAAGCTGAACAATGTTCCTGTTTGTCTGACAAAATAACCAGCAAGGTTAACCTGGAAAATAAATGACTGAACCAGTCAGATGTGTCGACCCAACAGTACAAATATTGCAGCTATTATATAAACAGGCACAACACATTTACATCACTCAGATGAACTATGAAGAAGAAGAAGAAAAGTGAACTATTTTAGCCACATTAATAGATATGTCTGTCCATGTGTGCTAAGGGATGTAAAGAAAGCAAAAACTAGTTATTCTGTAGCCTACTATGCCTCCCCACACTGGGATCTCACGGTGACAGCTGCGAACAAACGAACCGTGCTTAGTAGTCCTTGCATGCAATGAAAGAGATGATCAAAGCACATAAGGTTTTATCCTGTACAAGGGAAGCTGCTCTCTCTCTCTCTCTAGGCCTTTATCTGCATTTGTTAATGGTGTCGTTTGATCATTCACCATGTCAGTTTATTTGAATGACTAAAATCAGTCCTGGGGATGAGGAGGCAAAAAAACCAAAACAAATTGCCCTATCCAAGATTTACACACACACACGCATGAATACATATGCATGCACACACACACCGCACGTGCGCTCACACACAGGGATATGGACTCTTGAACACTGTAATAACTGGTCTTTTATTAATTATGATCCTGGTTGTTGAGATGATTTGTTTGTTCACTTGAAATAGATTGTCTGTATTATTGTCTGTTGTTTGAATCTCCCTGTGTTTGTAAGCTCACTCTTTGGTCCATAAATGTAGATGATGAATGGAGTCATTATATTGTAATGAATGTGCTTGCATAAAGTGGGTCGCAACTGCGGTCAGTGCCAGGCAACTCACTTTACATTTTATCACAGCCAGCGCCAGATTTATAAGGCCCTACAGCTCGAACGGGAATTCCCGTTCTTGTGCAAGAATTGAGTCCCTCTGCGTCCACACTTTTTATCGATGAGATGTATACGCAAATTAAACTACAGTTTCATTAATTTTCGACATATTTTTTAGAACTATACGTAATTTTTAAGGTAAATAAGTGTGCCGAATAAATATAACAATAAAGGCTCTTACAGACAAACAAAAATGCTTTTGCTACAGTCAAAAAACCTACCACCACATGCTCGCTTTAAAGCTCCAGAAGTCCAAACTAAATTGGTAGGCGAGGAAACCAAACAGTCCGACCCAATCGCTCTTATGAACTCATCACTAAAGACCGTTGATTCTTACCCCCAAGAATGGATACATGTCTATACTGATGGATCAGCATTTAAAGCTACCATTAAAGCAGGTTACGGAATCTACATAGGTTATCCCGATGGATCTGTTGAAGAGATTTTTGATGCATGCGGGGAATTCTGTTCAAACTATGAAGCTGAAATAATTGCACCTAAAGACTGTAATGGATGTTTACCCCTCAAAGGTCCAAAATATTGTCATCTTCACAGATTCAATGTCTGCCCTTCAAGCTCTGGAGGGCAATGAACGCTGCAGAACTGACATAGCCAAGATAATCCTGGATGCCGATCAGCTTATTACCTCATACAACATCAGAATAGTGATGCAGTGGATTCCAGGTCACTCCGGCACACCAGGTAATGACAGAGCTGACAGATTGGCAAAGAAAGGAGCAACACAAGAACAACCACCTACAGCGACAACCCTCCAGACAGCAAAAACACTGATAAGAGCTATAAACAAAGAGACTTGGTTGAACAGATGGGCCATGGGAGACACTGGAAGAGAGGTTTATAGACATATGTCTGGCCCTGATCCTAATGACAGCATTAACCATCTAACAAGAAGGGACCAGGCCACCATCTTCAGACTTAGAACACAACAAACTCCACTCAATGGACACCTAAACAGAATACAGCCACAACACTCCCCAGAGTGCCAGCTATGTAACTACCCCTACGAAACTGTTGAACACCATCTCTTTGAGTGCCCAAAACTCAGTGAGACAAGAAGAACGCTACTCCCTCCGAGACCAGACAAGTGGAACACCTTGTACGGAGGAAAAAAACAGCTTGTGAAAACATGCAAATTCCACTACATGGCATTGGGCCAAAGGGCGAAAGCTCATGCGCCGCTTGATCGATAACAACAACAACTACTACATTTAAAGTAGAAAAGTAATAAAGAGCCAGTTCACAAAAATCCGAACTACTGACTAGAAACAGTGACACTGACACACAACTGTCTTTCGTGAATTAAAATTAAAATTAAAATTGCTGTATATCCACTTCACAATATCCATTTGTAGATTTGTAATACGAATACGTTTAGAACACAGGACTTTGTAAGCATATTAATATGTCACACAATGCAACATGGAAACGCTCTCAGTAACGTATTTTCGAGGGGGACTCCTCCAAAATGTACCGTGATTCAGTTGTCAAGACTGACATATGCAGCCGGACGTGCATTTTATCATCTCTGTACGTGATATAGAAAATAGAGTACTAAAATGTTACGTTGAACCAGTGTCTGTGAATCTTGGAATATGAATGAACAAATTAAGAACTTAGAGGCCGTGGAGATGTGGATTCTGAGACGCTTGCTGCAACAGTTTTCTGTCTTGTTAATATTTGTATACCTATGTTTTCTATGCTATGATGTTAAACTGTTCGCTGTCTTCTCTCTTCATTTCCTTTGCCTCTTTTCCCCTCAAATTGTCTTGTTGTCCTGGCATACTCTAATTTTCTCCTTCCTATGATGTGCCAAAAGAGGGGCTTTGTAATTTACGATGTGAGTAAACCAGTTCCTTTAGGTTAACTTCTTTCAAGACATTTTATTTATTCTGTTTATCTGTCCAGTGTGTTCTCTGTATTGTGTGAAACCATCTCTGCTGCTTCCATATTTCTCACTACTCTGTTTACTGAACTGTTCACATCCATCACCAGGGTTGAGTCTCTATTGATGTTTAGAATTCTCTTTCTCCCCTCATTTCACTAAAACATATTACACAGAATGTTATTGAAATGGTGTTCTATTGAAGCTTTTCTACATTTAATTTTAATACAGCTTCCACCTCCTGTTATCAAGGTATCCAAATATTTTAACATAATGACTGGCTTCAAGCTAGTCCCATCTTCTTTTGTTGCTTTCTGAAGCGTTTTTTTTTTGTTTTTGAAATCTTCACAATCAACACTACATCTGTTTATACTCTGTTAAATCTAAGACATGTCTTGACTTGGTTACATATATACCCCAGTCTGACATCTTTCACATGTGTTACCAAAGCCCAGAAAAGAAGTTCATCAGTAATGCTGTACACTTCCATGCAGGTCTATGAGACAGTTAAGGAAGATTGGTGCTGATTAATTTTGTAGAAAACTTAACTGCAAAATCTAACCAGTCATTAAGACACCTTTAAAACAGCTTTTCTTGAGTTGGTTAAGAGCCTAAGCTCTATTGGGAATTCTTCTTCTTCTTTGTTCACCGGCTGTAAACTCTTGTGGAAAGCCCTAGATGTTCGTCCATTTGGACTTTGGCTTTGTGCCAAGGCCTGAGTTTTGCCTGTACATCCATTTTACTGGCATTTATGTGTACAGTTGGTTGTTCCTTTCCACTGGGCAGATGCACTCTGACCTCGAAGGAAGCCCAAATGAGTGGATTTCTACAACATGCTTGTTGGAGAGGCAGTGAGTCTCTCTTTGTTGCCCCACAATGGGCCCCAGAACTCACACAGGGGTATTGAGAATTGAAAGGCAGAAGAATCTGATGCCTGATCCTAGCATATGATTGTTTCTCCAGTGGTTGAATTAAGTATGGGTTGTATGATTATGTTACAGATTTGTTTGTTGGTTCAGTAAAGTGTATTTCTTATTAGATGTTCGCCTTAACTTCTGAATATTTTCATTTCAGGCTATGGAGAAGATCAACCATTGGAAGAGAACATTGTAGTGCCCCGAGTGGAACCGAAATATAATGTTCTGGAACCCCCACATTTTCATGCTAACGAGAGCAGCTATTCAGAAAGACGAATCGGCACAGATTCTGAACTATCTTTTGAAGCCAGGAAAGCAACAGCAACAGTTAATACCTCTTCCAAAACAGCCACAATGGTTCCCACAAAAGGAACTTTCCAGAATCAGTCTGAAGATATTGAGGTTGTGAAAAACAAAACCTTATCCCAAATGGGTGTGCTCGATGGGAAAGAAAGCGCAAAAACAATACCCAAAATAGTTTTTCTGAGGAAGATATGGAATTTGTCGGTTTCCTTTGACGACATTGGCAACATCATGAAAGATACATCATTCCTGAACAAACTGAGACCTTTGAACTTGAGTGGTCCCATGCTGACCAGTAGCCGCAACAGGACTTCTAACTTCAGCTTGGCAATGCCATTGAAGATGGGCTACTGCGATTGCTGGGAGCACTATTGTTCTTGTTGTGTTCAGCTGGTCAGTGCTCAACTCCACCTCAGCAACAAGACTTGTGCCAATTTTAGTTTTGCTTCCAAGACTCATGTAAGTTTTTCATTGTCTTTGTAAGATTATATTTTACCATGTAAATGTGTGTTGTAGTTAAAGTTAGTTGAGTATCCTTTACAGGATGTTGCAGAACCAACCCCAGCAATTTTTGGCTGTTGTGGTTTTTCTAGGCAAATTTTACTTTCAGTAGTTTGCCGTTGCTTCTCAATGGTCAGCTCTTGGTACTACTGTTGAAACCAACGCAAGAAAAACTGTCCCCAGCTGGGATTGAACCTGGCACCGCGGTATTATGCAGCTCGTTAGCAAGGCCTCAACCACAGACGCCGACATGTCATCTTTTTCTTCTTCTTGAGCATTTGAGGTTCATTGCTGCAGATATCACCTGCCTCCATTCATCTTTCTGGTTAGCCTTCTCTGTCTGGATATTATCTTCATCGTCGTCTTAGTCTCCCTCATGGTCTACGACCATTCATCTCCCTGGTGTATACAGTTTTGCCGACATGTAATACATATTGTTTATTCTCATATTATTTCAGTTTTAAAATAGGCCAGTGAAAGTTGTAGAACCACTAAAGGCATGTTGCGATAGTTAACAATTTCAGTTCTAGGTTTCCCCAAAATGTGACTCAGAGTGAACAATAACCAGTGAAGTAGAATCAGTTTATTACTTTTAAAGTGGCAACACTATAAATGCTGCAAATCGCATAGTATCTAGGAATATTTCTTTGTTAACCGAAACCAATAATTAAGCATCAGTGTTTGATACACTCAGACAATAGCTGATCACACATGGTGCCTTTCTTGGGACAAATATAGTTAAAGGCAGTCAGAAACAAATGCCTAAGGAAAGTGATGAATATTAAAGGGAAACATTCAAGAAATCTGAATTAACATTAGATGGATAAATGAAGAAAGGTGAAACAATTAGAGAAAAATCACGACAACTGCTGGTATCTATAGTTATTTTTTTTTTAATAATAAAAAAATAAATGGCAATATGTTGAGTATATTTTAAGGAGAAGTGAAAAGAAAATCACCAGACAGGCACTGAAATGGGAAACAGATGGATTGAGGAAACAGACATCCAAGAGAAACCTTTAGATGAACATTGATTAGAGAGACCAAGGGTGCTATACAGGATTCCATCCATTACATCAGAAAGACTGCGCAAGAGTGGAAGAATAGACCGCTGTCATGTAAACAGTGCAATAAGATGGTGATAATGATGGCTGTCTCGTTGTCTGTTGATTCTGGCATTTTCTCATGTTGGTTCCTGGGCCCTGTTTTGATAGGAAAAAGAATAGACCCACTCCCCCCCCCCCCCCTCCCCCCGCCAACCCCTTCCAACAAGCATGCCATAAAAAGCAGCTAATCAGGGGTGTTTCCTTCTAAGTCGGAGTGCATCTGCCTGAGAAGCTAGGAACCAGCAGTCTGCATACAAATAAGCCACACAAACCTCAAGTTTGGGAACATGACCAAAGTCCAGAAGTGGACAAACATCCATGATTTTTCACGCCATGACTTTCCACTGTTTACAGCTTGTTATCCTAAGAAGAGGGGAAGAGGGGCGTTCCTAACTTTATTTTAGAGTTCATGTGCTGACACCCTTCCATATTATGACAAGAAGCTGTCAAGCTTCCTCACTGCCTGTCTCTTTCTCTCTCTCGATAAATCTGTCCTAAAATTTACAGTTTTTCTATTTATGTAATGGAGTGTAAAAAACCCACATCTTTCTGGTATTTGTGGTAACCTGTTTATAATATAGAGTGCAAACAAAGTATGTAACTTTAATTTGTAAGACACTTCCGAAACAGCCAAAATGGTTCCTAAAAAAAAAAAAGCAACTGTCCAGAATCAGTCTGAAGACATTATCCTGGAGTGAAGCATTATAACATGGACCAGCTATTATGAGAGGGGAAGGGGGTGTGGTTAGTTAGAAGAATTGGTTCTCCCTGTGTAGATATCAGGGCCCACTTTAAGGAAAGAGGAATGGGAATAGACCCTCCACCCCCACACCCCCTGCCGACATGCATGTTGTAAATGAACTAATTAGGGGTGCTTTCTTCAAAGTCAGAGAACTTTGCCTAAGAAGCTGGGAATCAGTAGTCTGCACATAAATAAACCAGATCTGTAAAATGGATGTGCACACAAAACTCAGATTCTGGAATAAGACTGAGTTCAGAAGTGGATAAACAACCGGAACTTTCCCTGGAGTTTACAGCTTGTGAACACTTAGAAAAAGAAGAATTGGTTAGAAGATAGTAAGATAAATAGTTACATAGACTGAATATTTGGACCTGTAAATACACAAACAGATAAACATATGAAAACACACATGCGCGTGCATTCACGCACAAATGCGTGCACTTGCATGCATGCACACAGGTGTGTGCACATGCACATATATACACACACAGCAACAGAGTTCCTGGAGCACTGTTTGTGTTTGCACTTCTTTGAACTGCATCTGTATGTAGTATTTATGCCCTTGTGCATTCCTTTCATTACTTACTGTATTCACTAACAGATTATCAGTGTTGGCTAAGTTTTTTATAATTGTTATTATCCAGGAGATGAATGTAACATTCACTATTGATAGTAAGCCTGTCTACAATGGAATCATATCAGGTAATTTTTGTTGTTGTTGCTCTTCTCCAGAATACTATTATTATTCTAGAGATTTTATAAATAGTTCATACAAATGGAATTGTAAAGGAGAATTGGTCTTATAAACCAGATAATGAAGTATTTATAAAAAGGCTTTAATGTAGTTTTGTTTGAGACACATTCTGAGACAAAGCAGACAAAGAATAACAAAACAGGCACTGAAATAAGAAAAAAACAAATTGAGGAAGTAGTACATCAAAAAGAAATCCTGTGATGAATTAGACTGAGAGGTCTGAGGTGCCAAGCTGGTTTCATACCTGGAATTTGTTGGATCGTGCCAAATGTTTCCTCAAATTTTTGCAGTTTTGAAGTCCATGCATTTAGCTCTTAACTCAAACACTGCACTACTCTCTACATTTGAGTGAAAATGTGGACCAAAAATAAATGATAATCTTATGTCATAAGTCAGTAATCAGTTTTCTTCTTCTTCTTTTTCTCCTCCTTCTTCTATATGTGACATATATGAGCAGTTGACACATTTTTGTGTGGTTTACAACTAGGCTGTCATATCTGTTGAGAAGATGCAGCCGGGCATCACGCACACAAAAGCAGAAGGCAGAGAGACACTGAGAGGTGCTGAGCAGTCAGGAGTGCACTAAGAAAACAGTTCAGGCACCAAAAAAGAAAGAGACTGTTCAAGATCTGCCTGCAACTGAAGAGCAGACACAGTGCCCTCTGTCATGCTGAGCATTTCTGTAAGAACAGACGAAGAACCAAAAAGGAGCGAGAAAAGTTCTTTAGGGACCTGTTCCAGTTTGCCCCAGGCCTGTTCGAGCACCCAAAGACTGGGACCCTTGTTGTTGGCAAAGAGGAGCTAGTATGACCTTCTCGATGACAGGCAGGGGTTCGCTGGTGGCCTGAGTTGCCGAAGGGAAAGTTTGGAACGATGCCTCCCTCTTGGTTAAGGGCTAATCTCCACCTTCACATACAGTGTACTGAAGCACCTGGGCTTGCAAGAAAAAGAATGAAAACGGACACTAAAACAGCTGATCAAAGCGGCCAAAAGGGCTTCAAGCTGGCTATGGACGCAACGGAACATTGTGGGGGATAGACCTTGGTAGACTGATCCGAGCTCCTAGTGGAAAAGAACTTTATATCCCAATAAAGCCAAAGTGTCAAATTAAAGTCTGCCAGTGTCTCTCTGCCAGTTGCCAAAGTCTAATGTCTATCTGATGAACCAGCCATAAGCTTGTCACTCTGGTTGTCAAGGTAGGTGCTAGTTTGCTACCGCAGCGACAATTTATAGCCACAATATCTGTTGCAAAGCCACCATTTCATCTTGTCTAAACATCCGTTTAGCACAGCAGGAGATGTCCGTGGCCTGGAGTCATAAATCAGACCGGCCCACCCTCCGAGTTTGTCTAGGAGGATAATGGGCGGAAACAACTGTCGACGAGGGACCCACCTACTGATGAATGGTAGACTCCTGCTGTGCATGCTGCTCCTGTGCCTTTCAACCTTCCACATTTTATTTCAGCAAACTGTTAACAAGTTGCCTTTCACAACATGCTTGTTAAGAGGCTGTGGATCTACTGGGTCCTAAGACCCACACGTGGAGACACAGTTCGTATAATATGTTTGTAACAGATCAGGAGCAGAATGGCACAGTGGAAACATGCTGGGCCCATAACTGAGAGGTCAATGGATCAAACCAGGCTCTGCTAAAACCGTGGGAGGTCTGCATGGTTAAGTGGTGCAGAGGCAGGTAGTACCGCCTGCCTCTGCCTTGAAGGTTGTTGGTTCATTTCTGGGTTCATTTCACAGACTGCCATTCACTTTCGTGAGTGCGGTTTATGGGAGGTCCTTGGAGCTGGTTGCCCAAGCTGCAGAGTTCAATATTTCGGAGATGCTCTCGGCAAGGGGCTAGCCATTCTGTGAGGAGAGCAGCATAAATGGGATAAAACCTGGTGCAGTGAGTCAATCATCTCGACTTTAGACTTGAGACCTTATATAAGGGAATGCCTGAGAATTTTGGCAATGTGGGGATATTTGTTCTTTAGGATTTTCAACTCCTTTCCTTAATAACTCATTGTTAAGTATATTTTTGTGTTGAATTTGTGTTTTGAAATTCATATTGCAGTTTTGATTCTTTTGAATTCACACTGCAGCTTCTTTAGGTTGTGCTGCATCATTCAATTACTCGCTGGTTCTTGTTTCTTGTAACAGTTTATGCCAGTGTGTGTGTGTGCATGTGCGCTTGTATATTTTTTGTAGGTATGTTACTGTTGTTGTTGTTAAGCTACAAGCATTTATTGTCATGTGATTCTTCTCCCAGCTGATGCCCCTCCACTTCTGTGCCTGGGATCTACCCCAGCTGTGGCAGATATGTGTGTTCATTTCTTTAACATGACCTACCGGGTGGATCGCCTGGGTCTGCACAAAAGCCAGATTCTTGGCTGTGCTGACATGAGCCTCAACATTTACAACAAAACCATCAGTGTCTTCCCCGTGGACTGTTTCCAGATACCAGGAGACCCCAACCATCACCAGAAAGAAGAGCATATCATTTTACCCAACTTTGTCCCTTGAACACTCAAGACTGCACTTGCTGTTTGTACAGTTTGTATTTATGCACTTTGGGCTTTCTGTTTTGGAATAATTTGCTATGTTATTCCTTTCTGTTTTTGATAAAGATGAAATAGTATTTACCGCTCAGTGGGATATGGAGAGATGGTTGTAAATCATTAGCTGAGATTCCAAGATCATTGCAGACAGGTCACTCTGTAACTGCTCCGTTCCTTTGCCAGTGGAAATCACACAAAATGTTTTTCACTGTCTCATTTGAAAACTAGGGAGAAACTTGTCAGTCCCAGCAAAATTTCAAAGCTTGCACACTAATGGTCCCATACCAGTATTGCAGCTCACTGTTGGCACTAACGGTCAGTGTTGAAGCCCAGCACTGTGCCCGCTAAAGTACACACCATTCAGAACGTAATCAGCAACCTGGCATTTTATTGCAGTCAACAACATGCCGGGGCACAACAGAAAAAAAAGCATTAAAAAATCACTCACAGTCTTGCACCAAGCACTCACTTCAGTAGCTGGGTGATAGAATATTGGAACTCCCGGTTCATAAATGAGAAATTTGCATCTGTAAAACATAGCTGAAAAATAATGTTCAGTGTGTAAGCGTTCAGGCAGCTATCAGTCATTTTGGCCAGAGATTATTCTGAGATGGTGGAGCAAGCAAACATAGGATGTGAATTGACAGTGAGGTCAACAGTTAAGGACCTTTTTCAATGCCTTGTGGTATGTTGGGTGTATGAGGCTAGCTTTATATTTCTATAGACCAGTCTATCTGGGAGTGCAGGTCCGGTAAACGGGTCTGTTTTACAGATCTGGCTTATTTGTATGCAGATTGTTGGTTCCTTGCCTCTCAGGCAGATAAACTCTGAGTTAGAAGGAAACACTCCCATTGGTCTACTTTTACAGCATGCTTGCAAGGGGGTCAGTGGGGCTGTTATTTTTCTCCACAAAGGAGCCCGAAACCCACACGGGACAAATGTCTTTGAAAAGTTCTTCTTTATTTTCCTCTTCTTCTGCTCCTCCCACTCCTCTTCCTCTTTCTGCAATAACTATATATTTTTTTTCTTCTGCTTCTCTTTCTATTTTCCACTCCACCTTTTTCTTATTCTAAAAATATTCTTCCTTTTTCTTTTCTCCTTGTTTAGCTTTCAGAATTAAACTGATGTTTCATACACTCAATATTTGCTGGTTACATTATGATGCTTATCCATCGTGAGAAAATCCTTTAACTGGTTTTTTTTTCTATCACTTCTCTATCATGGCCATGGGAGATACTAGAAGAGAGGTTTATAGACACATGGCTAGCCCTGATCCTAATGACAGCATTAACCATTTAACAAGAAGGGACCAGGCCACCATCTTCAGACTCAGAACACAACTTACTCCTCTGAATGGTCACCTAAACAGAATACAGCCACAACACTCCCCAGAGTGCCAGCTATGTAACTACCCCTACCAAACTGTTGACCATCATCTCTTTGAGTGCCCAAAACTCAACGAGACTGAAAGAATGCTATTCCCTCCGAGACCAGACAAGTGGAACACCTTGTACGGAGGAAAAGAACAGCTTGTGAAAACATGTAAATTCCACTACATGGCATTGGGTCAAAGGGCGAAAGCTCATGCGCCGCTGGATCAATAACAACAACAAACACCACCTGATCATTAAGCATTGTTTATGCTCTCTGTAATGGGAACCCGGTACTCACACATGGATCTCACAATTCAACAGAGCAAAATGGCCTGAGAGTTACAAATGTTTCCATCAATCTGGTAGTCAGGGTAAATGTTTTTTAGTGGTTTTAATCAAGTATTGTTTTCATTGTTGGGCTTCTAAGATGTTTATTTTTTTCTAAAAATGTTTTAATATTATTTTCAAGTTCCTATTCTTTTTCTATATATTTTGTTGAAAATTGTATGTATCGCGCCCTAAACCTGATTCACACAGTTATATTTTCTAAAGCATAAATTTTAGTGATGCAAGGGATGTACAGAAAATATATGTGTATATCTGTATCCTATCCTTGTTGTTTTGACACAAGAATTCACAGGGGATCTCCAGTTAATTCTGTTGGTCTTCTGCTTTTCTGCCTATGGTATACCGTGTCATTTTACATTCCTTTATACATTCTATACATCCGATTCTACTGTCCTTCTCCGGGTTTCCTGAGGTTGTCAGGTTGTCCACGTCTGTTCTTTCCATCTGCCATCCATCAGAGAGCTATCCTTGCCAGAATGTCACAAGGCATTTTGCAAACATATCCAGGCTGTCCCTCTATCTTCTCCAGAGCTTTAAAGAAAATAATGAGAGTACATTGGACTGGACTACAGTTTCATGTTGTTAGAAGTCGGCAGCTGTTCTATACTCACCTCCTTGCAGCATGTTGGTCTCAGTCTCACAGAATGTTGGTTTCAGTCTCACAGAATGTTGGTTTCAGTCTCACAGAATGTTGGTTTCACTCTCACAGTATTTTGATTTTGGTTTTACTCTCACAGAATGTTGGTTTCACTCTCACAGTATGTTGGTTTCACTCTCACAGTATGTTGGTTTCACTCTCACAGTATGTTGGTTTCACTCTCACAGTATGTTGGTTTCACTCTTGCAGTATGTTGGTATGTATTATGGGACCGCGTTAGCGCTGTTGACAGGAGACTTGTTTTCAAATCCATGGCTGGTGTTTGAAACCAGACAGCTCCCAGTGTTCATCCAGCTTCTAGGAAATGGGCACCAGAGTTGACACTCTGGGGTAAATGGAGGAATGTCGCTGTAGCTACAGAGTTACGTGCGAACGGCGACACAGGCGGACAATTCTTATCAGCTGTCCGTACTGGTGGTAGAGCACTGATGGTTTATAACCATGTGCAGTGATGCTGGTTCACATCTCCCGACTTTACCTTTTTAGTATGTTGGTGTCAGTCTCTAGCTTGTGCTTAGCCTCATAATATTGTACCTGTTGCCAGAATCACAGTATGGAACTTAGTGATACTTTTCATTCAGTAGGAGACATTAATTGTTGGTGATACTTTACATCCAGTAGGAGACATTAATTGTTGGTGATACTGTACACCCAGTAGGAGGCATTAATTGTTACATTTTAATAATACAGTCCTCAATTTGTGTGTGTGCCGGGGTTGGTTTTTACATTAAGAATAATAGTCCTCAGTTTGTGTGTGCATGCGCACACATGTGTATGAGAGGTGGAGGGCTTTGATTGTTACGGTTTATAGACTCTGTCTTCAGTTCTGTGTGTGCCTGTAGCTTTTATTACCTCAGTTGCAGTGAAAAACGACATCATTTAAGTTTAGTTGAACCCTTACTGTTGTGTGTATCTGTGTGTAAGCGTGTGCTGCATGGACAGTAAGCAGATGAGAAACATATATTTGCAGCTAAAATGTGTTTTCCAAAGAAATGAAAAGAACATGTACACTAATATGAATCAAATATTTGTTGTCTTCTTCTTCTTCTTCTTCTCCTCTTCCTACTCTTTATACTCCTCCTTCTCCAGTTCTGTTCTGCCTTTCAGTGCTACGTTTTTGAAAAGGCTTTGGGTGCAAGCCTTGATGCTACGTAGATACCAGTATTTATGACCTCAGATATTCCATGTATCCTTAGTTTGCGTAGTCGATCTCTGGCTCGGCTTCCATTATGTCTGAATGACAGGGTGCACTATCTGGTGGTAGTCTTGACTGACCTCCAAACTATTTGATCTGTTGTCTCTTCATGTAGTTAGTGCTGTCCTTGAAGCACCAGATGACAACTGTAAACTGACTAGTGAAATTAGATGCAGACAGTCCAGATTTGGTGCATCAACCTGAAAACGATGGAAAATGATCAAGGGTCAGACATCATCATTGTCATGTGCCCTGCCAACTGGCCTAGGCGCTCATGATCACGATCCCTGCTTGCCTGGAACAGATCTCTTTATGATATGCCTCTATGCCATTGTTTTACCCCATCCAGCATCATCTTTCTTGGTCTGCCTCTACACCTTTTTCCACTGATTTTTCCAGTTGTCACAATATTCTCCAATGTCTCTCTTCTCATTTTGTGGCCAAAGAACAGTGTTTGTCTCTCTCTTATTGTTGTATATAAAGATCCACTTGATGACAAGTTTTATGGGCAGTAGGGAATCATATTTTGGCTATCCTCCGAATAACGGGCACAAAAGATGGCGGCCACAAAAATACCCTAACAGAGCCTCAGTCACATGTCAATTGCGCACTTCCGGCGACCTAATTTGCGGTTTTCCGGCGACTACCACCACCGCCGAGAGTATCCCCCACGCCGCGTGAGCAGCGTGGATTGAGGCTAAACTAGTTGGCTGGGACTCACTAGCTTCTGCATCTCCTGCAGCTTTGCTTGTGAGTCCTAGCCATCTAGTTTAGTCCCAATCCCCGCCGCATGAGCGGCGTGGGGGATACTCTCGGCGGTGGTGGTAGTTGCTGGGAAACCGCAAATTAGGTCGCCGGAAGTGCGCAATTGACTCGTGACTGAGGCCCTGTTTTTTTGGCCGTTATTGGGCACCATCTTTTATGCTTGTTATTCGGAGGATAGCCAATATTTTGTATAATTGCATATTTTATGTGATGATATAATTTATGTTTTGCAAGTAGACGTGTTTTGTGTGGAGACAATATGTTTTCTGTGCTGGCATAATTTGTGAATGGTGATATTATAGGGATATCAGTTTTGTGTGGTGACATGTTTTGTGTGGAGACATTATGTTTTACGTGTTGATATAGGTTTTGTTTGTTTATATATTGTGTTTATATATTATGTTTTGCAAGGTGACGCCATTATGTTTTGCAGGGTGACATCATAATGTTTTGTAAATCAATATTATGTACAGCAGGGTGACATTATGCTATGTATAGTGACACTGGTGGGGGCGCTTTATGTTTTGTGTGGGAACAACATGTTTTGTGTTGTGACAACATTTTATGTGTGGTGACATGTTTTGTGTGGTGACAACATGTTTTGTGTTGTGACAACATTTTATGTG